GGGAGAGAGAGAGAGAGTGAGATTCGGGGACAAATCAGTTGAGCTCTCGCGATGGTAAGCCTGCAGAATCTATCTAATTTAGGGTCATATCGGAGAGGAAGGGAGGGAAGATATACCGGCGGTACGTAGGGGAGATTTGGCCCCGAGGACGAAACCACTAATCCTTGTGTGGTAATCGACGATTTCCGTCCCTAAATTGTTCTGGCTCCGTGGGGGGGGCCACGGAGAAGACCCTACGGAATTAACCTTAAAGCGAGCGCTGCTTTTGTACCCCGAGACAGTAGCTGAGGCATAATTGTTTCGATCATCGACCGGTCTAGTCGTGATCGTCCACGAGAAGACGGTTAATTTTTAACATAGAGAACGGTGCTGCTTAGAGAGACGAGGGCGAGTCGTAAATAATTCCCTGCTCGAGCACTGAACTGACCAAAACTGTTTTGGGGAATTCTAAATGACCGTTCGTTTTAGACGTCGTGTTTGCCTTATTTTAGGGGGGTTGAACAGTTCAGAAATAGCTGTCAACAAGCTGAGAGGAAGTGTTAGTGCAATTTTTCGTGTAAGTGACATGGAGAAGTCAAAGATGAAGGTGCAGTAGCAAAAGGGACAAGTGTGGAATTGGTTAGCTAAGTTTCGTTTCGGGGATACCAGCCTTCAAGATGAATCTAAACCGGGACAGTCAAGGCCATAATCGATGACAGTGTTTCGAAAGCCTAGTGGAGCAAAACTCATGTCAAATAACCAGAGAATTAGCTGATAAGTTGGAGACATCCCTATCTATTTGTCGCCACCTGGACAAACTAGGAAAAGTTAGCCAATTAAACGTATAGGTTCTAATTTTTGGGGGGAAAACAAGGTGGATAGGATGATGGTTACCACTTTGCTCTTATCTTTAGAGGAGATGATCAAGTACGAAGATGTTACCTGAAAAAGACAGTAGGTAGATAAAGATAAAGAACTTCAAGACCTAACCCAGACCTAACCCAGATCTAACGCTTGAATTATATGTGTAGAATGAAGTGTTAAATATTATTGGCAATATATAGTATTTGCTTGGCCCTCTAATTAATCATTGGATATAACCCAGACCTAACCCAGATCAAATCTAGATCTAATCTAGATCTAATCCAGACCTAACCCAGACCTAACGCTTGAATTATATGTGTAGAATGAAGTGTTAAATATTATTGGCAATATATAGTATTTGCTTGGCCCTCTAATTAATCATTGGATATAACCCAGACCTAACCTAGATCTAATCTAGATCTAATCCAGACCTAACCCAGACCTAACCCAGATCTTATCCAGCCCTAACCCAGACCTAACCAAGACCCTAGATCTGGGTTAGGTCTGGGTTAGGTCTGGATTAGATCTGGATAAGATCTGGGTTAGGTCTGGGTTAGGTCTGGATTAGATCTGGAAAAGATCTGGGTTAGGTCTGGATTAGATCTGAGTTAGCTCTGGGTTAGGTCTGGATTAGATCTGAATTAGATCTGGGTTAGGTCTGGGTTAGGTCTGGATTAGATCTGAGTTAGGTCTGGGTTAGGTCTGGATTAGATCTGAGTTAGCTCTGGGTTAGGTCTGGATTAGATCTGAATTAGATCTGGGTTAGGTCTGGTTTAGGTCTGGGTTAGGTCTGGGTTAGGTCTGGATTAGTTAATAATCCAAATTATCTTAACCCTTTGCACTCCTATGTCGAGTGTGATTCGACATTGTTGGATTATTAATAAATAATCCTTCACAAAACTGAATCTAACAGTGAGAAACACTGTCCATTGTCTGTAGTCGAAGACCGTATGGGGCACCATCGGTTCTAGGGGCCTGGGTCTGTCTTTGTCATCGAAGGCAAGGGACATAAACACGATGCAGGCAATGGTTTCTCTCATTTTAAGTGGACACCAGTTTTCCTTTTTATGGGACCTAAGCGTCGCGTCACTTCCTCTTCAGTTTTAGCAGAGTAAAGACGTCCTTCTAAACCGAAGAATAAACTTTCATTTAGTAAAAGAAGGACTACTACTTTTTCACCCAAATCCAATAGACATCAATTTTGATCTCAGGAGCACCTTCGTCAAGTCTCACTCGACATTCTTTCAAGTCCAAACCAAACAGATATCATACACTTGGAAATTACGAAATACAACAACAGTGTAAATGAGACCTAACCCAGACCTAACCCAGATCTAATCCAGATCTAATCCAGACCTAACCCAGACCTAATCCAGACCTAACCCAGACCTAACTCAGATCTAACTCAGATCTAATCCAGACCTAACCCAGACCTGACCCAGATCTAATCTAGATCTAATCCAGACCTAACCCAGACCTAACCCAGACCTGACCCAGATCTAATCTAGACCTAACCCAGACCTAACTCAGATCTAATCCAGACCTAACCCAGACCTAACCCAGACCTAACTCAGATCTAATCCAGACCTAACCCAGACCTGACCCAGATCTAATCTAGATCTAATCCAGACCTAACCCAGATCTAATCTAGATCTAACCCAGACCTAACCCTAATAGAAGAAGAATAATCTATTATAAGTTGCTAAAGCGTTATGTGACAGTTACAGCAGCCTTGTAAACTGGATAATTGAACAGGACTCAAGAAAAATTACAACAGAAACCCAGGAAAAAATTTTTGGAACTAGGATGCGACACTAAACGCAAGAGATATATGATTTCTCGATAATTAAACATTAGCTAGACGTTATTATAATATCAGACGTCGACGTAGCGATTACAATAGCACCGAAAGTGGTCACGTCTCGAGGGAACAGACAGTTTTGGTAATCTATATGACGTCAGGACTATCTTGAGACATCTAACGCTAATGAAACGCCTTGGGCCAATAGGAAATTGTGCCTCGGTAAACATTAATAAACTTACACACGCGCCACGTTTACCGACGCATCAAAGTACACCTGAACGTGTACACCGTATGTGATCTTATCGTTCGATAGAACCTCCAGAGATGTTTACGAAAATACAGAAAAATACGCTCAGGAACTACTATTGTATCCTTCCAAAAATTCTAACGGAATTATTAAAATCTATTCGAGTTATTTGGAGGAGATAAATTCGATCGTCAGGTTCGACGAACGCGTTCCACCGATGAAGAGTTAAGAAAGTAATATAGCGTGCAAACAATCTGTATTTCGGTGAATCTTTATTCGGGCGCTTTTCAGCGCCATTCGACGGACACTTCCACAGAAATAAACGGATAATTGAAATGGACGAAAGGCCTCATCAAGCGTCGCGTTGTTTCGCAAAAATGAAACTCCCCGCAGTTCTTGTCTCTCGTTCGGAAATCGACTATTGGAAACCAACCGACTCACAAAAGAGTCCCGAATAATAAGAAAGTCCTCCGCAAAAGTGGTCAATCGAACGTTACCCATAGTTCCACGCATGATGCTTCATCGATGAAGAATTGTTCTCCACGGAAACTCATTCAGAAACCTGTCGATATACTTAAAAAATTGGTTCGAATTAGTACAAATCTGCCTATTCGTAAGGGTTGAAAATCTCGAATAAAGTTTCAGTGTTTTTGTCTATGTATTTGATGTTCGGGCAATCGTAAAAATGGTGAAATGGAGGAATTTTTCGCTCGATCGCATATTAATACGTGCAACCATGTCCAGAGCGGAAATCCTCTTATGCAAAGATTACGTTTGGCCGAATTTAAGGCGGCAACTAATCGCATAATACTTGAGTAGTATAGCTATGGGGATTCTAACCCATGGGGCAATGAGGGGAGCGTGCGGCGAGGGGAAGGTAGGGCGCGCGGGGGAGTGCGGCGCGGAGAACTTTAGGCGCGGGGCCTGTGGGGAGTGGAAGAGTGGTTGCGCGCACACGAGCCGCGGAGTGGGGGATGTCAGGGGATTAGTCCAGGCCGAGCCGCCGCGGAGACCTCTTCAGACCTGGCCCGCCGTCGGAAATTTTTTAAGAGGGGGGGGAATGATCCCCGAAAACTTTTCATACCGAACCGAGGGACGGGATGACCCCCGAAAATTTTTTTTCAACACCCACAGTTTTTTTATTGTCCTTTCGGCGTTCTCGGTACGTTTGTTGAGATCTAAAAAAAAAAAGAATTACATAATGTTCTCCTAAGAAAATATTTACAGCTAGCGAAAAAAAAACAACACATCATTCGGCTCGTAAATCTATTCTTTCTATTTATTATTCTAGTACTCGTATAAATTCAGATTTTTATAGTTCACTGTGGTTAGGTTTGGTCAAACTCTTGCAAAACGCGTTATAGAAAATGGTTAATATCATTACGAAACACAAGAAATAAAAAGTTTCATACTGTATACTAAATGCGAAAATTTACTCGAAAAAATGCAGTTCCTCTTTCATCCAGAGTCGAGTCGAGTCTCGCGCAACGATGCGTTTTCGCGCTTTGTCAGCGAGTACGTTATCTGCTACGTGCCTTTCGACGAAGTCGTTGCTACGCGAATATGCAATATCGTGTTCGCGACACGCTGCGTCCAACGGATTAAAATATAAATTAAATCGACGGTCCAGCCTTAGATTTATGCGAGGAGAGAATGTGGAAGACGGGTAAATAAAATTCGAGAAATAATATATGTTTTAAAATGACACTATATTGTTACAATAGAAGAATATATTGTTTTTTGAAACGTCGAATCTTAGAATTATGCGAGGAGATAAGGTGGAAGACGGGTGAAATAAAATTGGAGAAATAATATATGTTTTAAATGATACTATATATTTTTTGTTATGTTTAAAGGAAAAAATACAAAAAAATAAAGAAATAAAAAAATCGGATTAAAATATAAATTAAATCGACGGTCCAGCCTTAGATTTATGCGAGGAGAGAATGTGGAAGACGGGTAAATAAAATTCGAGAAATAATATATGTTTTAAATGACACTATATTGTTACATTTTTTTTATGCGAGCATCAACTACAATATCATTGATGGCACATCCTAACAGTTCACAATCTACAAGATAATCCTTGCAGTAATATTCACTGTCGCGTATGATTTTAGCAGCACTACGCGTATCTAATGTTTCGGTAATATATTGTTACGTTTTTTCTTACGAGCTTCAATTACAATATCATTGATGGCGCATGCTAACAGTTCGCAATCTACAAGATAATCCCTGCAGTAATATTCGCTGTCACGTATGATTTTAGCAGCACTACGCGTATCTAATGTTTCGATGACAGCATTGCTCTGTTGCAACACGTTAACAAAAGTTATAAATTTTTTCCTCACATCTTCTACAGTTTGATAGAGCCGCGGATACACATAGCTTACACATGGCTCAAGATTAAATAAAAATGCTACTGTATTCGGTTTGAAATACAGCGACTTATTATCAATTGTCATCTTTACAATCGACGAATCAAACATCCGACAAAATTCCACCGTTAATTCATTAATCTGCATCAATGATGATCCAGGCAATTGTGCACGTTCTTCGATGGTTGTACAGCAGTCGAATAGTGAGTTCCATGTATGCCATGGTATTCTAAGATGATTCCCACGATTATCACCGAGAAGAATTTCTACATCGGCTGTAGGTCCTACGCTGATTCCAATTTCCAAATATTTGCAGCCCGTGGATGTTAATGCGTATCTTCTGACCATGACACGCGATGGTTGGCGTGGCCTAAAAAGCATAATCATGAAAATTACCTTTTTTCATGAAAAAACATAAATAAATAAATAAAAAAATTATGAAAGGTTACCTGTTAAATGTATTCTCCTTGCATGGAGATACACCATCATCTTGCCTGATTGGAACGTAATAGCCCACGGCACTGGTACTACACATTGTTTTTCAGAGCACTATTTGTTCCGTCGAAAATTCAGCGAAGCTACTGAGCGATTGATGGAATAGCGTCCGGGGAGACGGCTTAAATAGAGGTGCAATCCCCACCACATTTTATTCTAAAGCTACCATTTTTCCCCCCATAATGCTTTTGTTCAATCTTAACATCGCAGCATATCGCGCGATTGCATGTAACTTGGGCCTCCAAGGATAAAAGTCTCGACACGTGTTGAATGTAATATAATATCTGTGGAAGCGCTGAATATTTTATTCTAAAACTACCATTTTTTTTTCCATAATGCTTTTGTTCAATCTTAACATCGCAGCATATCGCGCGATTGCATGTAACTTGGGCCTCCAAGGATAAAAGTCTCGACACGTGTTGAATGTAATATAATATCATGGAAAGAATTATGCGATATCAGCAGAAACTGCATAGAACCATGTTGGCATGCAATGCATTTGAGGGAGGGGGAGAGACACCGAAAGAGTTAGGCAGAGATACCAAATCGCTGTGCTGGTATAAAAGCACGCTTTAAACTGCACAAGGCCTCAAATAGTTACAACGTGTTGCATTGAAAAAAAAGGATATTACATTTACATTTACATTTACATTTACATTCCATTTACATTCCATTTACAATCATGGAACAATTCGCACAAGTAGAACGCCAATTGTTGGATCAATCCGAACGATTGATTTCGCAGGAAGAGTACCTCGCGTGGGAAGAACGGTGCAACGAGTGTATCGAATCTTTGGAAGAACACAGCCGCGTGAAACGCCCGCGATTATCGATCGGTGTTCGACAATCGTTGGTTGCTCGAATCGCGCGACTCGAAGGATTGAAACATTTGGTGCGCAGACGTTTCGCGCGTGAAGGTGCCGGACATTCGAGTACGGGACTTTTGTGGCGTGAAATACACACTGCGTTCGATACTCGCGTATTAACAGGTGTCATCCTAAATTCGAATTATATCGAACCGCGCAACTTCCTCCAGGATGCAGAGACCATTGTGCTGGAGCATGTTCGGGACACCTTGAGGAAACATCGAAACCTCAAAGTGAACACGGTGTTCAACGGCGAATTTGTGGCAGGTGACAAGCATGCTTGTAAAAGCATCAACACCCAAAACTGTGAACTCTTCCACACATCCGATCTGCAGGAGTGGTACCAGCGATGCGTCGTCGAATCCACCCTGGCATCGCTGGAAGAGTTCCAGGAACGCGACAGCGGATGGGCATTGGCGAGAATCATGAATCTGACCGTCAATGTCAATAAGTATAATCCACTCCGCGCGGGGTGTCACTTCAAGTTGCCGCGAGAAATCATGCTGAAGAGGGCAACAATAAGCATACAATCCTCGGACAACGCATGTTTCGCGTGGGCAGTTGTCGCAGCTCTTCATCCAGCAACAAAATATCCTGAACGTCCAGGTTCATACCCGCAGTATACGTCGATCCTAAATCTCCAGGGCATTGAGTTCCCAATGTCTCTGGGGTATATTGGGAAGTTTGAACGGCTGAACGACATCTCCGTCAATGTCTACAGCTTCGAGGAGAAGATGAAGAAGGGGCCAACAGTCTTCCCGCTGCACCTCACCAGCCAGAAGAGGGATAGACATGTAAACTTGCTTTACACGCCGAATCAAGAGCACGGCGATGTAGGGCACTTTGCATGCATTAAGGACTTGTCCAGGCTGGTGGGCATGCAGCTGAGCAGGCACAAAGCCAAGAAATTCATCTGCGATCGGTATGTATAAAAAAAAATTTATGAAATGTTTAAAAAATGTTGAAATATATGTGAAATTAAATAAATTTTTTTTTGGGGTTTACAGATGCATGCACTACTTCGGATCTACCGAGAAGTTGGAGGTGCATTCGCTGGACTGCGGGCAGATAAACAACTGCGCCATTCTGCTGCCCAGCGAAGGCGACAATCTGCTCAATTTCAGCAACCACGATAGGAAGGAGCGGCTCCCTTTCGTGGTATATGCAGATCTGGAGTGCATCATCGCAAAAACGTTGGACAACCAAGCGGGTGATAATAAATTACATACATATCAACACCACAATGTACACAGCATTGCATATTATATGCATTGTTCATATGATACATCACTGTCGATGTATCGATGTCGCCGCGACACAGATTGTGTTTCATGGTTCGTCGACGAACTTAAAAATTTTGCAAACTTTGCCAAACCTATTCTTACCAGTAATGTTCCCATGCTGGATTTAACTCCCGAACAGTTGACGACATTTCGCAATGCAGCACATTGTCATATTTGCGAAGAACCATTCAAGGCTAGCGATGTACGAGTTCGCGATCATTGCCATCTGTCCGGACGGTTCAGAGGCCCAGCACATTCGGAGTGCAATTTAAATTATAAAAATGTGTTTTACATCCCCATAGTTTTCCATAATTTATCCGGCTATGATTCGCATTTCATTATCGAGGAAATAGCTACCGCTTTCGAAGGTCACATTGATGTATTACCTATAACTAAAGAAAAATATATTTCTTTCACAAAACATGTTGAAGATACGGATGAATCAGACTCGCAAAATTATATTAAATTACGATTCATCGATTCATACAAATTTCTAAATACCAGTCTCGACAAATTAGCATCTTTTCTTAACACAGATCAATTAAAAATTTTGCGATCCCAATTTGGAACATTATCCACTGAAGATTTCAATTTATTGACGCGAAAGGGTGTCTTTCCATATGAATACCTTGATTGCGCGAACAAGCTGCAGGATCCATGCTTACCACCGCGCGAGTCATTCTACAGTTCGTTAACGGGCGAGACTGTATCAGAGACCGATTACGCACACGCCGAGACAGTCTGGCAGCGTTTCGAGATTAGAACCTTGGGCGAATACAGCGATTTGTATTTGAAAACTGATGTCTTGTTATTGGCAGATATTTTTGAAAATTTTCGCGAAAGTTGTATCAAGAGCTACGGATTAGATTCAGCGCATTACTATACTCTACCTGGTTTCACATGGGATGCAATGCTAAAACATACCAAAATTACATTCGAATTGCTCACAGACATCGATATGGTCATGTTTATCGAACGCGGTATACGCGGGGGCTTAAGTCAATGTTCCGGAAGATACGCACATGCCAATAACAAGTACATGTCATCTTACGACGCATCGGAAGAGTCATCGTACTTGATGTACTTTGACGTGAACAATTTGTATGGATGGGCAATGTGTCAGCCTCTACCATACGCTAAATTTCAATGGGTCGAAGATGTTGTAAATTTTGACGTATCTTCAATCGGTGTCGATTCGCCCACGGGATACATTCTCGAGGTAGATCTGGAATATCCGCAACGTCTGCACGATGCTCATGCAGATCTGCCGTTCTGTCCGACGCGTGCCAAACCACCTGGCAGCAGGCAGGACAAGTTACTCGCGACGGTATACGATAAGCAGCGTTACATAATCCATTATCGCAACCTGCAGCAGTGCACGCGTCACGGTCTTCGTATTACAAAGATACACCGCGTGCTTCAATTCGCTCAATCTCCCTGGCTCCGCGATTACATCGAACTCAACACACGATTTAGAACAAGCGCGACAAACGACTTTGAAAAGAATTTGTACAAATTGATGAACAACGCAGTATTCGGTAAAACTATGGAAAATGTACGAAACCATGTGGATGTAAAACTTGTGACACATTGGGAAGGGCGATATGGCGCGGAGGCAATGATCGCGAAACCGAATTTCCACAGCAGAAGTGTTTTTTCGGAAAATTTAGTAGCTGTTGAATTGCGAAAACTCGAGGTGAAATTCAACAAACCGATATACGTGGGTATGTGCATTCTGGACATATCAAAACTTTGTTTGTATGAATTTCACCACGAGTACATGTCTCCTAAACACGGGCAAAATTGTAAAATTCTATACACCGACACTGACAGTCTTATTTATCACATTCGGTGCGACGATATCTACGAGTCTATGAAGCACAATATCGATAGATTCGACACAAGCGATTATCCTACCGACAATCCATATAATATGCCACGCGTAAATAAGAAGGTTCCGGGGCTGATGAAGGATGAAAATAACGGTGCGATAATGACTGAATTCATAGGTCTTAGAGCGAAAATGTATGCACTTCGCGTAGACGGCAAAAAAGATACGAAGAAGGCGAAAGGCGTCAAGACCAACGTCATAGCCAGAACGATAACTTTCGTCGACTACGCGCAGTGTTTGCGCAAAGAGATCGAAATGGTTCGCAGACAATCATGCATACGGTCTAAATTGCACAAAGTGTACACCATTTCGGAATCCAAAATCGCTCTAAGTCCGTATGACGACAAGCGATATATCGTACCCGATTCGACCGACACTCTGCCCTGGGGACATTATAATATACCGTTGTAAAATAGAAATTATTATTATTGTATTTATTATAAATAGTGGAATTTATTGTATAATATAAAATTGTTTACAAATTGTCCGCAAATGTATAGAAATTAGTATTTATTAACTCATTCATATAAATAGTGGGATTAATGTGTAAAATAAAAGTCGCCACTCATGTATATGTATATGCATCATTGTATTTTATTGAACCATGTATTATTTTACAATACATTATTTTTATTTATCCAAGAATTGTGTGATTTATCAAAGCCCAACCACTTGACATACACCTTATCCCCCTTTCTACGCAACACTTTTTCCACTAGATGCACATCAGGATCTGTGACGCGTTGCAGCTCATGTTCGTAGAATCCTCCGGCAACAGGTTTTCCAAAGGAATCGAGGAGCAGATACGTCGCGGGATTAGTTGCCTGTACTTTGGCTATTTTAAACACCTCCGTTGTCCAATTCGGTGTATAGCCTTTATCGAAGATGGTTTTAAATTTGCTCACGCGCACAAACTCGCCCAATTTGAATCTCGCTGGAGCAGCGATCTTTATGTTGCTGTATACTGTAGCTAGCAGCTTATCGGCGATCGCAGGGGTAACATCGCAAGGACGCATTCCGATGGTTCTATGTTTTCGTGCGTTATACT